CTGCATTTTTTGGTCTCTTGTTTCTCATTTTCCTCTTGACAATACCCCATAGATTCTCTATGGGGTTCAGGTCTGGTGAGTTTGCTGGCCAGTCAAGCACACCAACACCATGGTCATTTAACCAACTTTTGGTGCTTTTGGCAGTGTGGGCAGGTGCCAAATCCTGCTGGAAAATGAAATCAGCATCTTCAAAAAGCTGGTCAGCAGAAGGAAGCATGAAGTGCTCCAAAATTTCTTGGTAAACGGGTGCAGTGACGTTGGTTTTCAAAAAACACAATGGACCAACACCAGCAGATGACATTGCACCCCAAATCATCACAGACTGTTGAAACTTAACACTGGACTTCAAGCAACTTGGGCTATGAGCTTCTCCACCCTTCCTCCAGACTCTAGGACCTTGGTTTCCAAATGAAATACAAAACTTGCTCTCATCTGAAAAGAGGACTTTGGACCACTGGGCAACAGTCCAGTTCTTCTTCTCCTTAGCCCAGGTAAGACGCCTCTGACGTTGTTTGTGGTTCAGGAGTGGCTTAACAAGAGGAATACGACAACTGTAGCCAAATTCCTTGACACGTCTGTGTGTGGTGGCTCTTGATGCCTTGACCCCAGCCTCAGTCCATTCCTTGTGAAGTTCACTCAAATTCTTGAATTGATTTTGCTTGACAATCCTCATAAGGCTGCGGTTTTCTCGGTTGGTTGTGCATCTTTTTCTTCTACACTTTTTCCTTCCACTCAACTTTCTTTTAACATGCTTGGATACAGCACTCTGTGAACAGCCAGCTTCTTTGGCAATTAATGTTTGTGGCTTACCCTCCTTGTGAAGGGTGTCAGTGATTGTCTTCTGGACAACTGTCAGATCAGCAGTCTTCCCCATGATTGTGTAGCCTAGTGAACCAAACTGAGAGACCATTTTGAAGGCTCAGGAAACCTTTGCAGGTGTTTTGAGTTGATTAGCTGATTGGCATGTCACCATATTCTAATTTGTTGAGATAGTGAATTGGTGGGTTTTAGCCAAACTCATCACAATTAAAAGAACCAAAGACTTAAACTACTTCAGTCTGTGTGCATTGAATTTATTTAATACACGAGTTTCACAATTTGAGTTGAATTACTGAAATAAATGAACTTTTCCACGACATTCTAATTTATTGAGATGCACCTGTACGCCTTGAATTGTTTTTGCACTAATTAGTTTGTCCACAAGGTGGCATCACTGGCCCGGGCCATTGTTTCACACAGCCAAAAAAGAAATGGAAGAGACGCAACAACAACCTACCGGAGTCCGCAACATCAATAGACGGCAGCGTTGACAAGCGCTTGTGTGAGGGGGTTATGAGATATCCCCAACTCTAGTTTAAATGAGTATAAAGACAGTGTTATCGGTCATAACTTCTGGTAGAAATAGCGCAGACACTGAACGAAGATAATTATCAGATGGAGTACAGTTTGAAAGGCTGCGCGTTCGGCTGTACGCACACACGCCGAGACGCTTCAGACAGTGCGCCAGTAGCTCTTCAACTGACAAAAACACAAAATTATGCCAAAAAACTATAATAAAACTAAAAATACAATTTATAGTTTATGTGAAGATTGTTTTAATTTCACTTAAATGAGAAATAGCGCAGACACTGAACGAAGATAATTATCAGATGGAGTACAGTTTGAAAGGCTGCGCGTTCGGCTGTACGCACACACGCCGAGACGCTTCAGACAGTGCGCCAGTAGCTCTTCAACTGACAAAAACATTTAAAAAAAAATAAAAAATTTAATCGACTGACAGACAGCACTAATGTTTTTTATAGATGTTGGTGTTGGTAATATTAGTTTATTTTACTGCTGAATATGCATTTTAATTGATTTTTTAATTTTATAGGCCCCCCCCAGAAAGAGATCGCGACGGCCCCCCTCCCCCTTGGACCCCTTCAAATTTTCAATTCAATAATCCGGCCCTCAAATGAAACTAATTGAATAGCCCTGTGCTAAACTGTGAACACTTAAAACAATCATGGTGGATACGTTAGCCGAGTGCTAACGTGACTAACTGATGAAGCAATACAGTTTGTGAACCAAAATATGTCTATACTGTAATGTTTGAAGAACGACAGACAAAAGACGGTCCGTCTTAACTTTTAATCAGAACACAGAACAGCTGTATCACAGGCGCACCAGCCTAACTCGCTCGTCGCTCCCGCTTTAAACCCTATAACTGCCAGTGCAGCAAAATAAACAGCAATTTCACAACGATTAAAGTCTGTGTGCTATACTACATTCTTTATTATTAAACGAAGTAATTAGAACAACGTCAGTCTACATTAATCGACACATTCTTAGGAAATAGTGGGTTCACAGCGAATTATCAGAAGTACTTCAGTAAAACAGTGATATCGTGCTTTACCTGGAAACCTAAAGCTGCAGGTATACATCACATATTAGCACAAAAACTTGAAATTTTGAGCACTCAGTTGAAAATGTACACATAACGTATCAATCGTACTTACAGGTTGTGGTTCGGAGAGCTTGGTAGTCCAAATTAAGAAGATTAGAAGCCAACGAAGATAAAAGCCAAGATAAGAGAAGCAGTCCTTGGTAAAATGACATGCACACAACAAAAGGATTGAATTGTATTTCTGTGGTATCCTTGAACACAGCGTCTTCTCAACATGATGTAAACACATAACTAGCGGAAGTGTTTGTGGGCAGGTCAGACTGGGCAGTCAAGCGGGGATTATGCAAATGTGTTACCCAGTGACGTATACCGGTAACAGGCAGAAGATTCGAAAATATGACGACTCGTTAAGAAGATTCAGAATCGACTCTCTCTTTTGAGAGACAATATCTTTATTTATCATGCACTTTTTTGATTAACAACTTTGCAGATTGTTTTCATTTAAAGATTGTTTTAATTTCACTTAAATAAAAAGTTATATTTTTCAGAGCCTACTATATATTAAAAATAATGTCTTTCAATTATACTGTAATGTTGAATGGCTATAATTAATGGCTAAAATTGAGGTGAAAATGTAATTAATCGAGACATCAGTAGCAGTATTGGTATCAAAAATACTGGCCTTTGTTAATAATAGGCTACTTAGTAAAGACATGCCATTAAACATTTAAAATATGGGTTGTTTCAACATTAATTTGGAGGATCAATGTAAAATTATGACAATATATTAATATGCAATTAATCATGATTAATTACAGAAAAATGTGTGATTAATAAAAAAAATTTAATCGACTGACAGACAGCACTAATGTTTTTTATAGATGTTGGTGTTGGTAATATTAGTTTATTTTACTGCTGAATATGCATTTTAATTGATTTTTTAATTTTATAGGCCCCCCCCAGAAAGAGATCGCGACGGCCCCCCCTCCCCCTTGGACCCCTTCAAATTTTCAATTCAATAATCCGAGAAAGGAATGCATTCCTGTAGCTCAAACAGTAAAGCATGGCGTTAGCAATGCCAAGGTCATAGGTTTGATTTCCAGTGAATGGATGAACTGGTCAAATGTAGAGCATGAATGTAATATAAGTTGCTTTGGTAAAAGCAGCTGCCAAAATGTAAATGTAAAAATCATTGTTAAAAAAACGTGCAGGAAAAATTAGAGTTTACAAAGTTAAACATTCGGGGGTTTGTTTAAATCCCTAACTTTCAGTATGAGAAACAGAGATGCACCACAAACAAGTCCCTGAAGAACGAGTTAGAATGGAACTATATCAATCTGGACTCTCTGCTGCATCAGATTAATGAGTGTTAGTAAGCCTTCAACATATGTTGAATTCTCAAACTGAAAGCAACAACAAAAACCTGAAAGCTTTGAGCCTAGAGCAAAGAGATTTGAAGACAATAACAACCCATTAAAATAATTTTCTGTTTCAGAGACAAATAGAAACAAGTGTTTAGCAATTAATGTGAACAATCAAAAATGTATCAATATAAACAGACAACGAGATGAAGAAGAAAAAAAAAATCATCAGACTCTGAAGGAACCCGCGAGAATAAGCCTGAATATCTTTAGCTCTTGGGGAGGGAGTGGTTCAATTCACAGAGCACAGAGTCGACAGAGTTCTGACAAACAGGTCTTGCAGTTTTTAGCATGACTGTGGTCACAAATGCCTTTTCCCGCTCAAAGAACAAGGGCGGCCGTGGCAAACCGTGTGGAATTACTTTGAACCCATCATTCAAAGCTCTTACGTAACTCAACTCTGCCACACTTTTTTTCTTCTGTCTCCCTCACGCTGCCTTTGTTGTCTCTCCGTATGGCACGGCATCAGAGCAAGTGGACCATTCCCAAACGATCCCAATATTAAGGACTACGGAGTAGCTCCTTACTCTGGTACTAGATAATTCAAAACCTCTGTTGCTTCAAAACTAGATCAGTGGACGACAGTTCGTGCATTCCACATCTTCAAAACAGTGTGGTAACTCACAAGGCAAAATCTGCAGACCGAAATGATCATTGAGCCCACAGACGATTAAGCTTACAGACAACCACTGAAAAATTGATGAAAGAAATCCATCAACTACACAACCGAGGAGGATAAAAGACCGGCCGGGCCGGCGTAGCCAGTGACTTCATCAACCTGCGGGCTGAATGAATGCAGAACTAGCGGCAGAATGCGCAATACGATCGGCGGCAAGGTTTGTTAATCACCCACTAATGAGGACACCAGAGTACTGATATTCAAATCTCTAAACGGTTCTCACTGAAAGAAAAAAAAAACCAAACATAAGCGGGGAGAAAACAGCAGGTTATTGCAGTTACCCACACATTCACACCCACAGTGCAGCAGTGGGAATATCAATACATAAAGGATCATCACACAGCCTGAAGCCTCAAAAAAAGCTGCCCACATGAGCAAAGGTCAACATGTATGACACATGCAACATTGTGAGCTCATAATAATGATGCGTCTACTAGCGTAAGCATAAGTAAAGACCCTCACAGATCACTCTTTTCCAGTACAAAGGCTTTATGCTAGTGAACTTAAAGGATATCTGCCGCCCGTGCTTGTCAATGGGCCTGCGGTGTGGTGAGTTGATCCGATTGCGGTCTCGATGTACCCTTTCCACCAGACCATGGTGTCTGGTCCCTCGCACAGAGTCCAGTCCGGTGGGAAAAGTCCCCTGTGGAAAAACACCTTCTTGGTTAACACTTTTCTCACAAATGTAAAAATCTGTCATAAATGACTTAAATAGTAAAAAGACATCAGAGCCTTCATATTTCAGGACATGCAGAATAAACAAACAAAATACACACATACATTTAAAAGTGCCACCATTAGCTTGTGTCCCCAGGTGAACTCACTCTACTCCAAAGTGCTTTTACCTTTCTAGGGTTGGTTTCTGAGTCATGGCAGACAAAAAGTTGGGATCACTGCTCGATGTCTTAAAGAAGCTTTATTCACAGCAACAAGAGCACTTTCATCTGAAGGTATACAACACTCCTCTCCATAGGGGATAGACACAGATACAGTTCTTTGGCTTTTGGATTGCACCGCTGTATCAAGTGTACTTGTGGAGAAAGTAGTGTACTGAAGGAGTAGGCAAAGGGAGGGCAGACTAAGAGGTGGGGACAAATACACTCTTTGTTTTTTAAGGAGAAGGTTTGCAATTACCATCTCTTGACATCGTTTATCTGAGGGTAGAAAAGCAGAGCATATGGCTGGGGCTTATCTTCTCCTAAATGAACATGACTTGCTGGACAGATTTAGTAGACTTAGATAAGTGAATGGAGGGGAACTCAGGTACCTGGAAATCAGTGCTGGCATTGCCTATTTGGTTGACGTTGGGCAGCGAGCCACCATAGTACTGTGCCCGGTTCTGTGACAGACGGAGCTGCTGGATCTTCTGGAACTGCACCTTTAATCAAGAGGAAGACACAGTGAATGCATTTGAAAAAGAAAGAAGAGTGAGAGTCTGCCGAGGCATTTTAGAACGTATGTATTTAACTGAGGTGGAAATTCTTGGAAATGAGTTTGGTTTTAAGTGTACCTCTGAGCTCAAGCTGGAGGACAGTGTGGATTTTGTTGTGCGGCAAGGGTAAACAATGAAAATAATCAATTCTGATCAGGCACAAGCAAATCAGGAGGCGTTCCTTCCTCTTACTAACCAAAGGACAAAATTTGAATCTCAAAGACTGACCTCATTTAGTGATATCAATGGGTTACTACACATAAGCTCAAGTCGATTTTTTAATCCAAAACACAGACATTTTTTTAAGCCAGAGAACAAAACCTTAATTACACACTGCTTAGATATAGGGCTGTATAATATTGCATCCTCTGAATTATATTGTAGTTGTTTTGACAGATTTTGGAACTGCCATTTGAATTGCAATTCAATAAATATTTAAAATCTCACATCTCTGCTAAGACGTCAATTAAATAAATTAAACAAAGACAAAAAAAAAACATTCAAACAGAAACAAGGTAGGCAAAAACTACAAACTCAGAAGCAATGTCTCCAAATTGTGTTATATTTTGCCCACACTATGCTGCTAACAAATAGAGCTGCTCTTTAAAGTTGTAATGAAATGGAACGAGTGAAAGATCTTTTGTACAATGAAATGGATCATTGATAAAATTGATAATATATCATTATATTATTTTCATTATATTTCGACATATTTCTATTCATCGGTTCTTGATTGGATGGAGGCAGATCTGAATGCCAACTTGAAATTAACTGTAAGAAAGGGGCAGGGATTAAGTGGACTAAATTATTGGAGAAGTACTGCATACATCATTAGAGAGAAGTCTGTCTTTTCACTGGAAGATCACGTTTTTTGAGATCAAGGTAATTTTTATAAAAAATTACAAGGTCAAAAAGAAATGCAAAAATTATATGCATGGATGAATTGTTCACAATTAGATAAACTAAGCTCGGGACACACCAAGTCAGTGGTCGTCCGTCAGTCAACGTCTGGCCATCGGTGAGCATCTGTTAGTTTGTTTGATATGTTCCACACGTCTGCTCTCATCGGACTCATGTTGGCAGTAGTTTGTCCGAATCGGCATCGGAGCCATCGGAGCAAGTGAGAACTCTGATTGGTTGTTCAGTTTAGGGAATGAGTCCATGCAAGAGAATTAAAGCAAAAGTTATGAAAACTAGTAAGTAAATGAAGGCTGCACAGACAGAAGGCTGTTCTAATGTTACGTGGTCTTACCCAAACATTCCAATATGCGAATGTTTTCATAACATGAGCTGCTTAAAATTATACATTATAATTATATAAGTTATCAATGTTACTGATATTCAAAATGGTAAGCAGGCGCTGCTTTGTTTATGTTACGTAATTTCCTTTTGAATGACGAATATTTACTATTGATAGCTGCTGATATAGACAGCTAATTCCTCTCACACAGGCGGAGAACAGACATGTTAGTTTGCAGTCAGCTGTAGCGGTGAGTTCAAGTGCAGCTTTTTGGTCCAGATGCCGTCGGCTTTCATCGCTGCTAGTTCTCTGAAGTTGGCTTGGTGTGCCCCGGCCTTAAAGGGGGTCATATGATGCGATTTAAATTTTTCCTTTCTCTTTGGAGTGTTACAAGCTCTTGGTGCATAAAGAAGATCTGTAAAGTTGCAAAGACTAAAGTCTCAAATCCAAACAAGATATTCTTTATAAAATTTAAAAGTCAACCACGCCTACCTAAAATGGCTCGTTCTAACACGCCCCCACATGTCTACGTAACGATGTGGGAAGATTTGCATAACGCCGCCCAAATGTTCACGCAAAGAAAGAAGGCGTAACATTTATTCTCGCTGTAGTATTGTCGCTGCCATGTCGTGAAGGCGCTGTGTGTTTCGTTGTAAAAGCCAAACTACTTTGTTTGGCCTTCCTAAAGAGGACGATATCTGCTTGGTCATGCCTGGAGCTGATCCGTGCTGGTCGCTGAGGAAATACATCAACTTTGCGCTGTGGATCGCCGGATCAGCTTTCACCGTGGACAAAGCGGAGTCCAGCCCGGGTTCGTCACATGTTGTTGCAGCAAGCCCGCCCGCCGCCGCTCAGTCAAGCCGGCCTCCGCTCACTCTAGCAAGACAGTATAAATCATTATAATTCTTAATTATGTCCCCACTGGATGTTCCAAATGCCTCGTTTATAATGGGTTTTAATGTTTTTGTCTCGTCGCTCCGGCCGGTTATCCATTATGTATTCGCTCTTTAGCAGCAGTTTTTTTACAGCAATATTTAAATGACACCCTGGTCATTCTTGGTGTACCCAAAATGGTCCCACACTATCGACAAGCGTTTCTCTGGTGGAAATAAAGCTTCGCTGTTTGGCCCCTCTGTCACAGTTCATCTAATGCATGCAGTAGCCTCCGTGCCTCTGATAAGCACGTCATTTTAAGCTGGTGCACCGCTAGTGTAACTTTTTTCGTTTTGCGCAAGCTGCAACAGTTCCGTTCCGTGTAACAGAAACACTCAGTTTAGCGGAACCTTTACGATTAATTAACCGTGACGTTTTAAAGCGTGGTTAACCGTGAAACCGGTTAATCGCTGCATCCCTACTATGAAGTCTTAAGTGAATTTAAGTGAACAGTTGGGAGAAAATCAGATGCGTTTCATTACATTAGATCTTAAAATGACAGCAGATTAATAAACCTACTGCTGTCTGACTACAGTCATGTTAATTAGCTAAATAAAGAGAAAATCATCACTGCTCTTGGCTGAAGAACTTTTGTAGCTTTAATAAAAATCAATACTTAGCTAGGCCTATTTCATACAGTTAAGACATTTGGTTATTTTATTTCTTACTTGAATGCTGCCGTTAAATATGCCTACTGTATCTAAACATTTTAATTCATTATACTTTCTTGTATTGTATTTGTCCTATTAATTGTTTAAAAAATAGCCAATAAGCTTTAGTTAACATGAACCATAATTTTCTACCTGCTAGAAGTATTAGAAGGAGCATTTGATTGGACAAAAATCTGTGAAGAGCATGATGTGTCAATGTTTTTGGTCCATTTTCTTGATGCTTTAAAAAGCCAACTTTATTTCAATGAACAGCGCAGTCCTATTTAGATGTGAGAAACACATTCATATATCATGCTTTGCCCATACTGGCCTCTACTTACATAACCTCACTCTAGATTATCGTGTTTAAAAAGATTGGCCATAAAACAACACACCACAAAATACTCCCTCACTCACATCACATAAAAGCACTAAGAAAATGCTACTTCAATCCCATTGCTGACACTGTTCAAGGCAGACAGCTTAGAAACACGGGCTTGTTAATAAACAAGCACAGATCCTCGCACTCAGCACACACTCTGGGGTCATGGAGAGTCACATCGAGCCTTTCAATGCATGCCGTTATCAAAACAATGACACCCCAGCTGTGGAGCAGCACCAAGCTAATTAGTGAAGCAGAGGATTTCCCTGGGGAAGCTTGCTTAGGCTTATGGTTTTCCTCTCCTGTCAACATCACACATTGTTATTATTACTACAGTACAACCTCCAGAAAGCATTTTCCATTATTTTACATTAAAGGGGTGGTTGATTGCGATTTCACTTTTTTAACATTAGTTAGTGTGTAATGTTGCTGTTTGAGCATAAACAATATCTGCAAAGTTATGAAGCTGAAAGTTCAACGCAAACGGGTCTTTTAAAATTCTGGCAGTTTAAATGCCTACAAAAACGGCTTGTAGGGACTACAACAAGTTACTTCCCGGGTTCGTGACATCACAAACCCAGATAAACCCCGCCCTTGGGAAAAGGCAGCAAAGGGGGCGAGGCCATGCTGCGCTGCTATAGAGAAGAGGAAAAGAAAACTAGAGGTGCACGTAAAAATCTATTCATATATGAATCGCGATTCTGTCTTCTAACGATTCTAATGGATTCACAAGTTTCGAAATCAATGTTCTAAAGCAGCGTTCTTATCCTGTTCCTGGCCTCGACCTGCTCTGCATCTCTCTCTCTCATTCAGCTCAGCTCCAACAATGAAATGTTACAATTATACACTTATTTTCACATAGCTATGAGAAGCATTAAACATGGTGTGCAGTTGCCGTACTGTATTAAAGCTTTAATCAGGATAAAACCGTATATTAAAAGGTAACATAAGCAGTAGTATTTACAGCATATCTAAAAGTATGAGAAAACAACAAACAAAAAACATAGGCCTACCATTAAAAGCCGTGCTTGCACAGGTTCTGCAAGATCCTCTTCAATAATATCCTCTGCTTCTCAATCGGGCTCAAACTGATAAGGGATATTAACGACGCCATTGTTTACAATACAACCGGAGCACATGCCACTGAGGTGAGGTGCGGGACGTTTAGACGTGCACTAGAGGCGGTTTAGCCAATCACAACACACTGGGCTAGCTAACCAATCAGAGCCCATTTCTGAGGGCGGGGATTCATAAAAGCAGGAAATGATCAGCTGTTTCTCAGAGAAGAGACAGAGCGGTGTGGAATAAAGGTAAATTATGTGAAAAATAATGTGTTTTTTTTTAACGAAGCATTAACACGTTAGACTGCACCCCATAAACACAATCAAGCCTAGGAAAAAAAAACAATGAACCACCCCTTTAAAATTAAACTAAACATTGAGAGTTCTTTGGTTTCCCTATTCAACATTTTCCTCATGCAGCAGTGCATTAACTTCTGAGTTTTAGTTTTTATTGTTAACTTTCACCAATGAATGTGTGAAAGACTGAAAAACTGTGCTGATATCTAAAAATAACACAGACACCTTGATCCACTACCACTTGCAAAGGCTGGACATGCCAATGGACAGTCAGCACGCCTGCAGCTGGATGACTTCCTGCATGCAAACATGTAGTGGGTTTATAGTTAAACTTAAAAAGTTGTTTACACATTTCTGTTTATCAAATCCTACTGGAAATGGAAAGAGTCACAACTGCTCTGAAAACATCTGGTCGTTGCCTTATGCCAAATCTCTCCAATACATAAAAACCTGAAGTTGTCAAATCTGTTTCTATAAGCAGACCATCAAATGGCATATTCAATTCTGAACCTTTTTCTTGTTTTAAAAAATGACAACTGTTTGACCAAATAAAATAAAAAAATAATTTAAAAAAAAAGTGTCAAACGATGCCTTTGTTGATACCAGTTTAATGTGCAGACACCATAAATATAATTAAGCCATTTGTAGGTTCTTCATTTCTTCGAAAAGCATAAAGTGTAAACACTGATGCATTGCTGTTTACATGAGTGGCTCAAGAGAAATCAAACAATGCCAGAAGCAGTGTTAGTCATTTCATCACAGTCAGTAGTACTGACAGATTTTGCTGCTTCCTTTGGGATCACTGCCACACAGGGAACAGTAAATATTCATTTCATTTGTGGATCACTGCTAACAAGGTTTGTTAAAAAGTGCAATTCTCACAATAATCAGTATTTGGCTATCAGCCCATTCCGATTTATGTATGTAGTACTGAGAGGTTTGTGACAGAACACAATGTTTAAAAATTTATACAATTCAAGAAATGCTTTTTTTAAAACACAAACTTGCTATTTTTTTAGCATTTTCCTCCAGGGCTGATTCCATTGTCAAGGCAGATTGTTTGTAAAGAGGTATGACTTTAAACTCTGACACTTACTATAACACAACCACATGTTCTTGTGCCCTAGAAGAGAAGGCAGCCAAATAATGAACTGGCAGATCATATTCATTCATTCCCGCCTACAGACTCCACACAGAGACAGTGCGCTGTCTGAGGCAGAGCTGCCCTCTGCTAAAACATTTCCCACTGGTGAAAGACCAGTAGTTAAACCACTACACCTGACTGACATTTCTTAACCCTTCTCTAAACCATACTTTGAAAGCTAAAAAAAAATCCACTGCAGGCATCAGCAAAAACTAAAACATAACCCAAACTCTAAACTCAGTCTTGTTAAGATACAGTACGCACAAGCGTTTTTCCACAACTCACAGTTAAAGGGATTGTTTACCCCAAAATTAGAAATTTATGAAAAACTTTACATTTGAACCACTGATGTCACTTGGACTATTTTAACAATGTCCTTACTACCTTTCTGGGCCTTGAACGTGGTAGTTGATTGGCTGTCTATGGAAGGTCAGAAAGCTCTCGAATTTCATCAAAAATATTTCCATTTGTGTTCCAAAGATGAACGAAGGTCTTACACCATGTCCTAACTACACGCCGCGACACTCGATAAAAGGTATCTTTTCCATGTTAATCGGAGTTTTTGTCCTAACTAGCCGCGACGGCGACACGCAAAATATCTCATTTAGAAACGGTTTCTAATTCCGCGACGTTGCGGCTGGAACAACAAACACACAAGTTAAATGTCTCTAATATGAGTTTAAATATAATTTTGTGTGACCTTATAGCCATACTGAAAGCAACAACAGATAGTTTACCTCAGATCTTGAAAATAAATTAAAGTAAAGATGTCCATTAAAACTGTGAACTCACTGCAAACCAACGAGTGTATTCCATAACATAGATGTTATCAGTCACTCAGTATGTACATTTAATGATGAAAGCTTGAACATTTATGAATTAGATCATAAGTGTATCCATTTCTTGCGAGTGCAGTGCGCTTCCAGAGAGAGCCCGCCCACACACGCTTCTGATTGGCTGTGATACTTGATTGATTCTGTCGCGTCGCATCGCGTCTGATGTGGACACCCAAATTGCTTGTCGCTGGAATCTTGTCTCGTGTAGTGTGTAGTTAGGACACGGTGTTACAGGTTTGGAACTACATGAGGGTGAGCAATTAATGAGAGAACTTTCCTTTTTAGGTGAACTATCCCTTTAAGCACCCTGAATTTGTTCAGCTCTCTCATCTTTCACTGGTCAGTCTAAAGCTATAGAGGATGATGTTCAACATTACAAGTGTGATCATGATGTATTAGCGCCTTTAAATGTTTACATGATGTGCATGTAAATGAAACTGAAAATGCAAAGCAGCTCAGCACACTAAAAGCCTCTGACATGACCCCTATGTTTACCAGGGTAACCATAAATTCTAACAACAAAGAACCAGTTACTACAGTTCATATTTAAAATCATAAACTATTAGTGAATCTTCTCAAGGGCATATCTACAGGTGGGCATATTAAATCAGTCAAGTTGTAGCACTCTTCATTACAAGATGATGAAAATACTCACACTGAAGGAAAAAAAGGTTATAATAAGAAGCGTTTACTAATAAGTTCTTTGGGGAACCCAAAATGTTTCTTATACAGCCTTACTGCAAAAACTTTTCGGAATGTTTATTTTTAAGAGTGCTGATTGGTTTTTACATACTCTCTTGTTGATTTTTCACTCGTTGGAATACATGATTCTGGTTGGTTAGTTGCTACAACCAGTGGTAAAGTATTTCTGAATTATGATCATTGTCAAGGTCAACACTGTATAACTACCACTATATAACTTGTGTTGTCTAAGATTTATTTGGTAAGCAGCCATGTAATATGCAAGATCATGTACAGTCAACTGGTTACACTAAAAAATGCTGGGTTAAATACAACCCAGTGCTGGGTAAAATAGGGACAAACCCAGGAATTGGGCTGTTTTGACCCAGCGGTTGGGTTACCCAGAAGGTTGGGTTAAACATTTAACCCAACCGCTGGGTCAAAACAACCCAATTGCTGGGTTTGTCCCTATTTTACCCAGCACTGGGTTGTATTTAACCCAGCATTTTTAAGAGTGTACTATCGCCAAACCAACAACCTTGTAAAGCAACCTTGAGTTTTGAAAAAGCACTTTTTAAATGAATATGAAAACTATTATTATGTTTACGATTAAATTCTACAAATTGAATAAGATCTTGAAGGGATCATATAAACCTGAAGGTGGTTATTTTAGAAGAACCTTCCGTTTTAAGGGCCTGATAGCCATGTTGGGTTTAATTTCCAATAACCACTGACTGACTGTACATTATCCATTACAAAGTGCATACAAATAAACTCCCTCCTTTCCACAGCTGCAAATTTACTATACACAAACTTTACATTTCTCACATTCAAAATAATAACTTGCATAAAATGTTTGGAAAGATTTGTTATAGGCAATATTGAGCTGCCCACCTAGGGACAGCATCATAGTAACATCACTGCTGTTTCTGTGCTCATTCTGTCTTGTATGCTGTTGTTTTATGCAGTTTTACAGTAGTGTAGCAAGTATGGCATCTTGGCTGGAAACTATGGTTGCCATGGTGACTTCAAAATCTATCAAAATCATCTGCATTCAAAGAAAAATTAAGTTTGCTACTTACAGCTCAGGCAAAATATAATTAACGATTGATCAGGTGAAGACTCGTAAATATGATCAGACAAATTGAAGGCATCAGCCCTTTAATGATGTCCATATGAATGTGTGCGGTGTGAATGACAGCAGCCAGGCACTGCCATCCTCATCCCTCCTCATTTTACATTCACTGTGATTCAGTTGCGCATAGGACAAACTTAGGCAGCCGCATTTGATGTATGAAATCGAGGGAGCGAGGTAATTACCAAATTTGGCTGTGCTTACCCTTGAGACGGTGAGGTCTGTCATGAGCTGATCGAAGGCCCGCGTCTCCTCCGCCTGTTTCTGGTTGTGCAGCGCGATCTTCTCGCTGAACTTCCGCGGGTTGGAGCCACTCGAGCCCGGGGATCCAGACATGGTTGGGCCGCAGAGTTTCGAGATCAACTTCGCAGGGAACTGAAGGTTGAATGTTGTCGATATACAAGTCAAATGTGCTTAAGTTGTCCTTCCATGTCTGAAATGCGTGTAAGGGTGCAGTCCAGATGCTTTAGAGAGGTTTGACGAGGTCGCTTTAATGACAAGAGCTTTGCCACCATTAATGAGCTGGAAAAAGCGATGAAACCGTATTATTAACAACTTAATGGACTTAAATTCATCTTAAGTGCAAAGTAACGATGATATATAGGAGTTCCTTATACTTATACGCCAATATTTGTATGAAGGCGATGAGCCGAATTTGCTAAAAGTTTGTCAGGAAACTGGACATCGCTAAATATTCAAGCGTTTATGACGGTTTCGTTTGGCATCACTAACTTAAACAAGCTCTTGCTTTGTATCGTGGGGAAATAGGACAAAATGTCTAATACTGTGCAACGCCAAACAGAAAAGCTTAAATATTTCACTTGGATTTACGAAACAAGTTCAGTAGCGACCCTAGCTTGCGAGCTAAATACTTTAGATTCTGACGAGAACAATTTAAATTATGTATATATTTTGTTATTCCGCATAAATATTTAAGAGCCCACCATTATTTATGAATTAAGATAGACAGTTGGTGATATAACTGTCTAAATGCGAGTAATTGATTGATATTGCTCGGTCAGGTACAGGATAAAGTCAGCCGTGACAGCTAACGTTCACCAGCTAATGAGCGATATGACACAATCCAAATATCACAAACGAACTGTAACTTAAATGATAACCAACAGTCGTTCGACTCTTCAAACGGCCCACTTGTATGGTAAATTCAATCAATCTTATTTCACCCAATACTGAACTTAGTTTCGTGAGATTTCAACAAGTGGTCTCGCCAATGTAAAGCTCGTTACGCATTCGAAGCTCATATAAACAGGAAAAGCGCGAGAGCAACTTCGCAGCAAGGGAGCAAATCAAGCTCGGCAATCACACACTCGCTGTCCTGCGGCCAGTGACCGACCGCTGTTGTCATACGAGTCTGAGAAAATGTTTAGCTGTTACTGATTCGTGAAATGCAGCGGTGAAATCTGCTCGTGTAGTCCGCGTGTACTCCTTTGGACTCTCTTCTCCGTGTCCATCATCTAGATCCACCTGAACTGTGATCCACCGACTCGTGACTCCACGGCACACATTTGTTTAGCCAACTCCGAGTGAAAACAAGCCCGAGGAAAAAATACACAAGCCTGCCCCAAAACTGTATACCAATTTTTTAAAGTTGTGTCCACAAGGTGGCAGTGGAGTTCCCTTAAAGGGATACACAGCACTATTATTTACTATGTGTTAAAAGTGCCATCAAAAAAATTATTAGAAATAGAAATGAAAACTCCACATTTCCTCTGTAGTAGATCATCTATTTATCTATATTAGATCAAACATATCTTGAAACTCTGCATTAATGACCACTTGTCTTGAAACGGAATTGACTTCTATCTATTTATCTATCCATCCATCCATCCATCTATCTATC